TATATCCGTTGAAATTCATAGTGTCCTTAATCCGTGCTGAAACCAGTCTTTTCTCGGTCGTTTGGATGTAAAGGTATTTGGTGATATTCATTTGCCATGTCAAGGTAGGTGAAATATTTGGCTTTACCCAATTGATCGAGTATTTCCGTCACGTTAGACATGGGAAAAGCGTCGCCTACCGTGATACTGTTGAACTTTCGGAAATCCATTACTACTCTGTATTTTTTGTTTTCTGATGCATCTTCCTTCTTCGGCACCACCAATAGTGGTGCGTTCCACGGGTTGTTGCTTTGCGTTATTATGCCATCACGTTTCATCTGTTCCACGTGATTAGCTATTTCTCCATTTTGGGCGTATGGTAGCTTATAGGGTTTTTGATATGTTGGTTGTGTTTCACCAGGAGTTTTTATCTCATCGGTGCAAGTAGTTGCATTACTTTCCAAATGAAATATGTCGGTTTATTCAAAGCATAATTCTTGTATAATGCTCCGTTCATAATTTGTCATATGCTTTGTTTTCAATACGCTTTTTAAACTTCCGATTCCATTTGTAGGAATTTAAAATGATTTGTGTTGATTGAGCAATAGTTTTTATGGAAAATTCATATTTAAGCTTATTCTTTTTTTTTTTCAGCTTTTATAGATCATTAAGGCCCGTCACTGCTCCATACATCCTCCTCCATTCCTCTCTATCATTTGCCAATTCTTCTGGGTTCTCAATCCCAAGTATCTTTAAATTCTTGTTGGGCTCGTCTATCTACCTTTTCTTCGGCCTGCTTAATGGTTTCTTGCCTTCCGATTCCAGTCAAGCGCGTCCTTCATTATGCCATTCGATCTCCATACGTGTCCAAGCCATCTCATTTTCCTTCCCTTGAGTGTTTGTATAATGTCCTCTTCTTCCAACAGATCTTTAATTTCTTTATAGGATCTTATTTCATAATCACCTGTTTGATCATTTTTTTTTGGGACTAAAAATCCGTTGTAGGGATTTTCTTTCTAGAACTGCAAGTTTTCTTTCGTCCTCTTTTGACGTTGGCCACGTTTTGCATGCGTATAGAATTACTGGTCTAACTAAAACCTTATATAATCTCATTTTTGATTTTTTTGATAATACCTTGGACTTGAAGGTTTTTTACGAAATAACACCTGTTTCCAGTATTTACTCTCAGATTGATTTCCTCATGGTAATTATTGCGACTGTTTAAATCCACTCCCAGATATTTGAAACATTCTACTTTTTCGAAACAATAATTTCCAATGACCAAATTTCTATTTTGGTGTGGTTGATTACCTTTCTTAACTACTATATATTTAGTTTTACCCTAATTTATCATTAGACCCATATTCAGCGCTCTGGTTATCAGCTCCTTTGTAGTGGTTTTTATATCCTCTTCATTTGATCCAAGTATCACTACATCATCAGCGTAGGTTAGTAATGCATGTGCTTTTCCATTAAAACTTACATTATTCACTGTTTATTGAACCTTCCTAACAACCTCCTCTAAAGCAATGTTAAACAACGTCGGTGACAGGGCATCCACTTGTTTTAGCCCACTGTTGTCTCGAATTTTTCTGAATAATGGTTTCCAAATTTGATTTTACATCTTGATCCTTCAATACACGCTGTTACCATTTTAACTAGTTTTGATGATATACCAAACTTTTCCATGCTTTTCCACAGTGATTTTCTCTTTATAGAATCGTATGCCTGCTTAAAATCTATAAGCAATAGGTGTAATGGCTTATTGTACTCGTAATGTTTTTCTATTAACTGTCTTAGTGTAGACACGTGTTCAACTTTAGATATTCCTGGTTTAAAGCCGCATTGGTATTCGCCTACTATTTCTTTCGTATATGGTTTATGTAAGCTTATTCAAACTTGGTATTTCCAATTCGCATGAATTGTCTGATGTTTTGATTTTTTACCAATAACTGTTGATTTATAACTTGATTTAGTACATTGCCACAAGAAATATTATCGGTGATCGGTTTCGCATGAATCAGAATATCCTTGTGTTCCATTTCCTTGTAATTTACATAGACAGGGACGATGGTTTCACAACGTGCTTGAAGTACCATGTTATTCCTATCAGAGATGAAAAGTTCTCCTTTTTCGACGTCAATGATCACCAGTCTCCTTGGAGACGTGAGTTCGCATTCCACCACTTCCACCAGTTGTTGTGAGCCCCTCGGTTATGTCCGTAGGCTCAGATATTGTGATCAGTTTGGTTAATTCCGCCGATTATAAGTAACGTTTTGAATTTGCAATTTTAGAATTCAACGAGGAAGTTATTGATTCACACAATTATTATATGAACTAATACACTATTTTTATTCAGCCGTTATTTAAAATATTAATACGCTTACAAGAAACGTGTACACTGTTGCTTAGCTGTTACACGACTGACTCCCCAATAATGGGTGGTCAGATGTGTACGTATAAAATGAAAAAAATGCATTTTTAACTTTTATCCCCAAATACATACTATGGATACTAATAATAATAAAAATATAATACTATATAATAAAATATGGTGTACATAACATAGGTAATATATTAACTAGTTATGAGTGTATAATTTATATTGGTTAATTTATAAAAAAAAAATATACTTTTTTATATGTATATTTACTGTATTTTATTTTTCAATGAATTTCAAGTTCAGTTTGGTAGCAATTATAATAAATAAACATGTCTTGGCAGTGCGACGTAGGACTTGTAAAAAAAATTATTGAAGTTGATACATGTATTATCGCCATATGCAGTCTAAAGAAGGTCGAAAACTTGTTTTAAAAGTATTTTATGTAACTTAGTAGTTACTTAGTCCTTTTTCATTTTCCGTACTGAACATTGAAAACATAACGTTTTACATTTTTACTTATTAGTTATTATTAATTTATAAATCATTATAATACAATCAAATACTCAATATATACGTATATGTATATATAAATAAATCTATGAAATATGATAAATATAATTCATATATTATGTTATGTTTATGTTTATAAACAATAATTGCGTATTCACGGTAAAATCCTGAAAAAATATTATATCGTATTATACAACGGAATTGCATTATTATTAGAATTATTATTATTATTCAATTATTCAAATATGATTTATGATAAACTCATTAGTCATCAGTGACAGATATCGTTATAACTCTAGAGTAGCTAAACCATTTAAATACATTTTCGTAATATAATATGTCTCAAGATAATTTTGAAGAATGAAAATGTACTGTAATATTGATTCAATTTTAATCTCGTAGTGAAGCACTGAAGCCATAAACGTCTCACACATAAAAGTTTTCTCCACACTTTTTTATGTTGTTTTTAGGTCTACAGTAATTCCTAAACAAAGTTCATGAGTCTCAAGCATCCACTTTTTTATATTAAGAATAATTGGAAACAAATTTGATATAATATAATATAATATAATATAATATAATTTTTCGATTTTGTTTGCAAGTTGTTGGTAGTGGTTGCGAAACAAAAAAAAAAAATTGGAAAACATTTTGAAATAATGTTGTAATTTCGATTATCGGTTGCATGTGATACTTTTAATTATTGAAGAACGGTCTAGTAATATTTTATGGTTAATGTTTATCTCATTTTTTTTCTTATAAATTGTGCAGCACAAGGATAGTTTTGAGTGAGTTGTACAATATTTCATATTTATTATTTTAAAATACGTTTAACTATTCTTACTTTAAATCAATCGAGTTAAAAATTAAGAGCAATAAAATTATAATTGTTTATTAGGTATTTTTCACTTCAAAGGATTTCTCTAAATGTTTATCAGATGAAACTCTTTAGACCCTCTAACTTCGAAACCTAGTTGCGCGCACTTATAGCTACGATGGCGTATTGTGATATTTATGCTTTACGCGTGTACCTCCGTGAGTACACTCAATGTAACAAAATATTGTTTTACTCATTCACCTCTCAATAAACTATCTCAAGTGTCTGTATAACATGTAATGCATTTGCTATTAGTACTTGACATTTTGACGGTGCCGTTGCTAAGTGGCTTAGATTGATAGATGTGAATTAAGTTGAACAAAAGTGGACAAAAGTCAAATACAATTTACTTGTAACAATAATACATTTACGTGGGTACAATTAAAACATTTAATTACCAGAAAAATATTTTTTTCGTTACGTTCGGAATTCCTATTATAAATATGAATACATTAACACGTACAACATACAAATACAAACGAAATGTGTATTATATAACAGAGTCATTAAAACGTATACATAAATATTACAAGTAAAATACATTTTTTGAAACTGCAATTAAAGTTAATAAGTATTGAATAAGAAAGAAAGAAAGACCTATTATAAACCGGCAATCAAAATTAATCGTCATTGTATGGAAATTAAAAAACGATTATCATTTCGTAATTAACTGTTTTTAATAAATCGAAGAAAAATGTTTGAAGAAAACTTGTTAAGGTTTACGTACATTCGTATCATACGTTTTGGTGCAACAATTTGTTTTTGTTAATAATCATTTATAACTCGTATTGGGTCGCACCGTCACAAACAAATAAAAAAAAAAAAAAAACAAATTGACCCCCTTGAAAACGGACGGGAGGTCGAACGCCACGCACAAAGGCTTCAAATCGCACTTGCAAGTCGCACTTTTGAGTTGGACGCGGTTTTCGCCGTTTCCTTCGGCCCGCGGTACATGCACATAGGTGTATTCAAGAATATTATAGAAAGGAGAGAGAAAAAACGAGAAACGTCGAATATACCCTCGAATCGTAAAAATATTATCGTCCCGTCCGCGACAAAAAAAAAAAAAAAAAAAAAAAACAATCGCACCACACAACGTTGTACGCGGCTGCACGGCAATTACCGTAAAACGTTTTCCGGCTGCGCGGCAGCACTGTACCGCACCGCCGTCGTTTATCTCTTCCGTTGACCCGCTCCCCGCGCGCGTACGGTTTGCTCCCGCCGCAGTCCGCGGGACCGTTTCTCCCTTTTCCCCCATACAGTAGTCATTCACTCGCGTCATCCAGTGTCGGTCGAGTGGTCCGGTGCTCCGCGTGCGACTATCATCGTGTGCCGCGTGCTTGTGTACGCGTCTTTTCGTGCGTGTGTACGACTGTTGTGCGCATCGGTCCGTGGGGCGCGCTCGTTACGTATTCTCTCGTCGTAATCACATTCCTCGTTTTCTCTCTCTCTCTCTCTCCCCACAATACTGTTCCCCGTCGTCTCTTATCAGTAGCGTAAAAGGTGTCCGACGGGCAGTACCGCGACCGCTGCCGAGAATAGACCGACGGGTTGGGTGGCCGAACAATGTGTTAAACGTATATGAAATATAATTAATCGTTCGCTAAAAAACACCCCGCGTACACACGTGCACGCATGCCGTCGCCGCGGTGAAGATATCAATTTATTCCGCCGCAGTGTCAGTGCCCGTTTTTTCGTTCTCGCGACCGTTGATTTCGTCGTGACCGGTCGTCCGCATCGCAGTAAATGAGAACTAGACCCGCGCACCGGAATTCGTGGATCAACCGCCGCTGACGTACTGTTATGGCTGTGGTCGGCCCGAGCCGACACTCGAGGGTGTCAATGTCGCTGATGCAGGGCTCAACCAATGGTCCGGTCGGCAACCACCAGCAGGCCAGCGCTTCGCAACAGTTTTTCCATGCTCAACAGCAGTCCCATCACGCTGCACAATCGGCCACCGCACATTCTGTAGACTACAAGCCCGACAGACCGATTGGATATGGTGCCTTCGGAGTCGTCTGGTGAGTTATCATTTCTTTTATACCGTTCTCATTGCGCATCATCCCTGTAAACCTTAATTTTTTTTACACATATAAGATGGTTATTTACTATATGCAAATATTTTCCAACTGATTACTGTTCAATATACCCTTTTATTGTTGATCATCATTTGCTGATGAATACATTCCTCAACACTAGCGTTAAATGTTGTTTTAAAGTACATTATTGTGTCCATCCATATGACTGAGTACATAATGTATTATCGCCAACATTTCTTTCCTGAACTGTTAACCAACTGTCCCAAATAGACAATCAGACATAACTTAGTGTTTGCTATTGTTGACCCATTGTGCTCTTTTACAGGTCACTTTTTATTTGTGAATGTATGAGTACAGTAAAAGTTAGTATTCAAAATACTCAATAATAATTTTTAATTAGCTAACAAAGTTGTACATTTTTGTGATATTTGGTATGGTACGAATATTATTTCATATTATTATGAATTCATTATTGTTAATCCCTTTATAGTCAAGTGACTAAATGTATCTATATTTATAGATTACTTACAATTATTTTCACATGATGACTGTTTATATTGATGTTTAAAAGGTGCAAGGTCTAGGTTTAATTATTTATTGATAAACAGGACAATACTCTATTACCATTATTAGTTTCTAATGTAACCTTTACATTATATTGTATTAGGCAATTGAACTATTTGAACAAAAGGTATTTCAAAATTGTACTTATTGAAATTTATTTTATATTTCGGTTGGTAGTTGGCTCAATGTCCAATAGACATGCAGTTATATATTTATTGAATATTTAAATGTTATTTGACAAACAGAAATATTTCTTAATGAGCATTAATTTGAATTATTATCTAAAAACTATTATATATATATATATATTGATAATTTATTTAATTTAGGAACCTATGTCAAAGAAAATTGCTTGGAAATTAGTTTTTAAAGTTATTAATTTTTATTATAAGACAAAATAAATGTTGAAGAGTAGGTATAATAGTAACATGATTTACTATTTCCCTATTTCATTAAAAATAAAGAATAAATAAAGATTAAATAGAACAAGAATCCTAAATTTTAAAAATATGTTGTATTAAAATAATTTTATAATTTAAAAAATTACTTTCCTTTGGAGAAGAGTTAAAAACACATTGATAAGTATTTAAAAATAAAATTTGTTATATTATTTTTATTTAATTTTAAGTAAAATATACTATACTACGTTTACTAAAACATGTCAAATTTGTTCATTAATTCATCAATGAATTCATTTAATTCTGTATTAGTAAAAATTATAAATATTATTGCCTACTCTTTTACGTGCTATTTTTTTTTATATATATATAGGTACTTAATATATTTATTTTTATTTTTTGTAGTGTTATTATTTAGGATTATACTGTTTGATTATTGAATTTTAAATATTCTTTATCTTGTTTATAAATTATTATACTTCTGATTATATTTGTTTTTTTCAAATAATTTTTTGTTTATTAAATATTATTCGATACATTTATAATTGCATAAGACTCCTATAATCTAATAAGAATGCTTGTTCATAAATCAGAATTTGTTCGCTTGCTTTTTGCATGATATACTGATTATAATGTTTTGTGTTATATCTATCATTGTAAATTGTTCATGTATATTTCAATAACAATTTTTAGTAGTTGATAATTCTGTCAAAATTACATATGTATAGTTAATTTACATTTAAAACATATTATAATTTTATGTAATTATTTTTAAATATTTTATTAAAAGATGGGTATTATTTAAAATTTGTTTTTCTGTACATCATACTTTTAAATTATACAAGGATAATGAAAATAATCTTAAGTATTCTTGATTTTGTTTATTGTAATTATATTTATTATTCTAAAATCAGTTATGCGTCATTTAGGCTTACATTATAATCTATGTAATTATAATTGCAACTTTTCCCCGTATTATATAATTAATTATAAGTAAGAACTATTGTTATATTTAAATTAATTGTAAAGCAACTACTCGCTACTAACTTTAATACTATCTTTAACTTAATTTCATTGGTATAATTTTAACTTTCATTTTTCAAATATTAAATTATTTTTAAGCAGTTTTTTTAAAACCCAAATTATTTCTTTTATTTACCTATATTGATAAAAAAAAAAAAGTTATACCAACTTAATTAAACAAATTAATTGATCTTTAGGTAATAAAAGATACATACATTTTAATTATGTTTTATGTTTTAGTTTAACTTATTACATTTTTTTTTGTTTATAGATAAATACTTATTTTATAAAAAATGTAATTTCAACAATAAATTTTACATATTAATTGTACAATATATTTAAGCACATCAAAGCACTATTTACAATTCTCTACTATGTAGTTTACAAAACATTATATTAAAAAACGTTACATCAAAATATATATTGGATTTATGTGCAAAATATAATTTGATATAATATTTATATAGAAGAATATTTCATGTATTGAATGTTATAAATAACTATTTAATTTTTTTAAATATTAATTTATTTTATGCTCAACTATTTACAAAATTAAAATAAATAAGTTTCATCTTGGTCTAAATTTAAATTTATTTAGTATATATAAGGATTATATAACTGTAGAACATCCAACTTTTTTTTTATTTTTATATATCTCCTCGTGAATAAATATTATATATGTATTAAACGAGGTATTAATTCATTGGAGTGACAAAAATGTGTATATCTTATAGTAATTTATCCTAATAATAAATTATATGAGTACTTGAATAAAAAATAAAATTAATCAGATCATTAAAGATGGAATAGATTGCCACAAGGACTAAATAACTTCAGTTCAATAATAGTTCATAATTATTAAATATAAAGTATAATTTACCTAACATAATCGTTTTTTAATAAAATAAAAAAAAATAATAAAAATAAAATAAAAAATAAAAAAACCATTAATGTACATAGAAGTTAAAGTTTATCTTTCTACTATATCAATGCTGTAGAACAGCGGTTCCCAAACTTTTTTCCGTGGTACTTTTTTTTTGGACCCAATCAAGCTGCGGTGCCCTGGCTGTGAATAACATTAAAGACAGAACAAAAAAAAATCTATTGATAACCGATTTTATTAATTTTAATAAAATTTATCTTAGTTATAAATTAATGCACTTTTAAACTTAAAAAATAGATAATTAAAAATTATTATTATTATGATTATAATTATTATACAAAAATATTATAGGGTTAAAATCAGAATATCCAATTATACAATAGAAAATATTACATTATTTGCTATAAAGTTTTTACGAAAACAATAAGGAAAAATCAATTTTATACGTTTAAACTATTTGTTATGAACCGTAGACCGCGGTGCCCTTAGAAAGTGGTCGTGGTGTCCCTAGGGCACCGCGGTGCACAGTTTGGGAACCGCTGCTGTAAAATAATTAGTAATAGAAAAAAATCGATAAACAAATAATGAACATTAAATATATTTCTGAGTGTCTGACCACTAAAGGAAAAATATGGTGTAGATCACTTTACAGTTTCATAAAATTCAATATTTTTACTTTTTTTTCAGTTGTAAAATGTCTATGTAACAATTAGTCATATATGGTTAAAATAGCCGACCGTGATATAGTTGAAGGTTACTTAATTTTAACGCTGTTAGGTATTTTTAAAATATCGGCTAAACAAATTGGTCTTTAGAAAATTGTGAATTTTTTCAGGTGGTATACTAATGTGTTCCAAGGAATTCAATATGGTTATCATTTTTATTAGTTAAATTTCCAAGGAATTATGATTTAAAAAAAAAAAAACAGACCATTATTTATTGATTATCATTTATATTAAATTCATTGAAGAATAAATAGTATATTTATAGCATCTTCTTAAATTTACATCCCGACACCGCGTATTATTTTATGCCTATTTGTATATTTTTTTGTAATTTGTTTTTCCATAATATATTACAATATTTCTATATTGTAGTACAATTTATATGGGAAACAATAGTTTGAATTTTTTATCGAAAATTTAAAAACTTATTAATCCATATTTTATCTTCGAATACCATTTTCTGATTGCCAATGTTGTATTTAATAACTACGCATATAATAGATTAAAAGTATTCTTCGACTAACGTGAGAATGTGTTGGAAAAACATATTTGTCTGTATACAGACTCATTCCCAGAAATCGTTCAAGAAATATTGATAATAAGTAGGTTTTCCATTTAGTTTTTTAGTGTAGAGACTCACACATGACTAATGATATGACCTACTAAACTTAATTGACAATGTAAAAAAAATTTTTATCATGATTACAACAGGAGTTTGGAAAAGAAAGTTTGGCTGTTTAATGTATTTTACAAAATTATTCGCTTTTGTTATGCTTATTCTCCTTGGTATTCCTTCATCATCCATACATAGGATAAAATATTTGGATGGAGGGGAACTCGAAGACCCAAAAAAATTGTGTGCTTCGTTAAGCGTCTCGAAATGAAAATTGTTAAACCCAAAGAACAGAGGAGCCAGATGTGCCTACTCGAGGGATAAAACCTGTTTTGGGTTATTTTTTTCTTTTGTCGTGGGTGTTTAGTCGTTGGAGACTCGTCTCGACGAAGGACTGTCTAAGGGCGTGTACACTTTGTACAGTATGTGGTATAATAGTAGCAGGTGTCACTGCCTACAGCTATGCGACCTTAACATCTGTGAGCTAGGGAGAAACGTCGACAACAACGACCTGCAGTTATCGGATATGTTTGGACCCTTTTCAGGTACTTTTCAGCTGCGTCGCGGTATAAAGTTCCACGACAATAATACTACACAGTACGCGCACATCGTTCTACTTTGTTTCGTTGCTCGACGTGTGCCATGCACGCGCATTCCTTTGTGCGAGAGAAAAATAATAATACGCATTTACCTTAATGTTGTGTTATACAGTATTGATACATATATAGTGTTATGCATGCACGTTCACTTATAAGTTTTAAACCCGTAACAATATTCTCGTTCGCTTGTATACAGATAAAATTTAATATCCGTTGTCAAGTATCTACATTCAATTGGCCTTACGCGTACTGTATACGATAAAGTTATATTTGCTTTTGTCTATATACTTGTATGTTACTTTTTTGGCATTTTATAACTGTATTACGTAATCATTTTACCTGCTACGTTTTTGTCATGGCTTTCTGTAATAGCAATCGCTTATTATTATTATTTATTTTCGCAAAGATTTCGCTGCATAAAATTTATATATAAATATAGATCTTATATTTTAATTTATTTTATTCTCGTCCATCTGTGTAGGCAGAAGAAGAAAGGGCGAAAAAGAGACTATATGCGATATTGCTTTATTTTAATTATTATAAACCAGTGCCCTTATAACGTTACACAATGGTCGATATTGCCTATATATCATGCTGCTGGTACCTCTAGTAACCTATCAGCGAGGTCTCTGTCGTAACTTTTTAGGCTGTTCCCGTTTTCATATCGGTAATCAATGAAGCAAAACCCATTCCAACTGGAGTTCTACATAATATAGAAGTTGACTTTCGACTGAAACTACCCACATCGATGTTGCGGTTCACGTTAACGACATACGACATTTATTTAACATGGAAAAAGTCATAAATTGTGGTTTATGTCTCATGATAAACCATTTTGCTTTTAGTTGTTTGATATTTTTCATATTTCTATTGTAAGTCAATCGTATATCAAGAAATTACATATTTTTCTTAAATATTTTAAATATATATATAGTATGATATTAACTGGCAACAGCAATTGTGTATTTTTAAGATATTATTTTTTTATGTACTATTTTATTGTATAAAATGTTATTATCATATAAACTTATATTAAACATATAGGTTAGGTTAGGGATTATTTAACTTTTGGGAAATTTTAATTCATTAAAGTATCATAATTCATTATTCATGATAATATTTTGTAATTTATGTGTATTGATGTGCATTATCATAGTTTTAATATAACACCTTGTTTAGTATAAATTTCTATATATAAAAAAAAAATTATCTTTGCTAAAAAAAACGGAACATAAAAATAATTACTTTTAACTGTTTAAATACTAACGGAAAAGAACTCCGAAATGTTCTAATAATTTATATTATATAGACTTGATACTCTGCTTGATACTATGTAACTTATTAATAATGTAAAAAATAATTGTTATTAATTATTATAAATCTTCCTTGCACCACTTTCTTTCTTTCCCATTTATACATTTACGTTATACAACGGTTTTATTAATTTTACTATGATACAAACTATGAATATCCGAAAATAATTTATTTGTCTTTTGTAAAGCTATAAAAATGTAATATCTAAAATTTTTACCGATAGTAAAAAAAATCTAGCATTGTATGAAACTAATTGTCCGAGTCTTAGTATAGATACAATTTTTTTGTTGGACTAAACTAAACTGTGTCAAACATGTTTGAATCCCGGACGGACATGTGTTCGCAATTTTTAGGAACGCAAAACTTTCCTCTTCTTTGGTTATGTACTGCCGATACACAACTCACGTATTATGCATAATTACCGTACAGGTGATATGCATGGATATGAAAGTACGAAACAAAGAATTCAAATTTAAAAACTGACGAACATAATATTCATACAAATTTTATTAGTTTCGATAACATTACGTTACGCATACCGCAGTCGTGGGTCAATGCTAACATTATCGTCGTACCTACTATTAGTAAGTACACATAATGTGCGCCGTAGGTATATTGTACATACAACTGTGCTGTTAGGTTGATCAAACCATATTTAATTTTGTGATCCAACCTAGTTTTTAAATATCGTTGGTACGTATACATAGTGGGGCGGATGACACGAGTACATCAACGTAGACGGTCGTTGCTGTTACGTACTATACTTTAAATGAATCGATATTTACGCTACTAGCATATCGTATAGGCCTCGTCGTACTGCATTTATACACCGTCGTTTAGAAGCCAAATGTTCTAAACCGTAACCGTGTGGTGTGCGGGTCATTGTTCGTGGGGTTTTATAATGATTATTATTATGCTGGAAAAAAAATAGGAATATCTGTATATATTTAATATATAAGACCCGAGAAGAGAGACAGACCCACTAGAGAATTCTACTACGGTTCTGTGCCGTACACACGTATGCGTTCTGTGTGTATCACAACACTATAATTTCCCACGAAGAAAACCGTCGTGTAACCAGACGCGCGTTTGAAATAAATAATTTCGACCGCCTCCAACTCCTTACTGTACTCAACACGTACTCTTACATATTATATGATATAGTACTTTCGTGAATTTATTATACCTGCTCTCGTTGTTCTTCGGACGCAGGTTAAAAACCTATTTTAGTCAAAAAACATAAATTGTATCATATTATTATGTGTACGAATAATCTTCTTCATTCTGCCGTGTTGACGATATGACTCTTAATATATTTATTATTATTAATAATTATGATCCTGTACGATGTGGTGCGCAGCATAAGTGTTTTTTTTTATTGTTTAATTTTACATGTGCATGTGTACAACAGCGAGGCCATGTATTATGTTATGTGTGTGCTTGTTTGTGGTCGAGAATATCTAACCGGTGCTGCTGTACAAGATTGCAAGCTGCTGCAGCGTATAAGCCACCTGCTGGATCTCAGCCGATTCCGACACAGGTGTCATTTACGAAAAAGTAGTAGCCTCACATGCTTCTCATCAACGTGGAACTCGTATAAAAACAACAAAACTTAAAACCGCTATCATATAATGTCCCTACTTATATGTATGTCTATGTATATATTTATATAATTCAAATGTATATATGTGTGTGTGTGTGTGTAATAGATGAAGTAATTAAATAGTGCTAGCGAGAGGAATGAATACGAATGAATACGATAGAACTACCGAAGAAAACCACTGAGAGTAGGATATACATCCTTATCTTATCGAATATATGCGGTCTAAAGACTATGGTATGCTCCTAGTAACACTTGTATGGAAGTTATATTATACTCTACAAATCTGTCCTTGGAATTTACAATGTCTACACACATTATTAACTAAAATAAAAGAGAATCTACGAATTAAAAGATAGCTGAATGATAGGAAAAACAAACGATAATTAGTGCTGGAGCCATGTTTGTGTAACTGAGATTTATCTATTAACTTGAGTTCAAATACAATATATAATTTAATCATATTTATGAACAACGCGTAAAAACATTTAAAGAAGCCGTCTGTGTACTTTTTAGTGTTAAATATAGGATAGGCCAGCGCGCGATGGCCATAGCAAACGGTATTCGGCCGGAAAACGCGTTGTCGTCTTCAATCGGGACGTAACGTTGTCTTTGTTCCACTTGGCGGTTTTAATATGAAACGAAAGCATAACAATGAAACCTCTACACGGTTTCTACGCTTTCTTTTTCCCATAAATTGATGCAGTAGCAATAATAGTCAAAATATCTCTCGACTTATAATCAAATAACTGTGAAAAATGTTATTTAAAAACTATATTGTTGTTAAAAATATGTAGTTGATGAGTAAATCGGAGCCTGATATCTTAGGCTATGATCAGTTTTTTCGCATTCGTGATTTTGTAATTGTATCCATGATTTTTAAATATCAAAAAAATTACGTTTTACGGTTAAAATCTTATGTAGTGAACATTTATAATTTTTTGTTTGTGTTCTGTAAGTAATATATTGTACAATTCTTCCTTGTATGGTGATATACCTGAAATAATATCAAAAGCAAGTTGTTATTTTTTTTCTAACAAATTTTTGTTCATCCCCCACATACATTCATATAATTATTTGTCATATTTCTTATACTCTAGATTCATTTGGTTGATGTTATATGCACCTAAATTGTATTATTGTTCTCAATAAAATAATAAATACATTTCTCAATTTTAACCATTTCTAGTAATTATCATTATAATGATAAGCTTTATAGACGTCATATCGGTGTAATTTATGATCAAAGATCGACCCTGACCTAAACCCGAACTTACGCGAATGCACCAAAACAACTTAAAAGTAGAGAACGTTTTTTCCGTGAATTTTTGCCTTTCTGCCAAATATAATAATTTTTTATTCATTATCACTTAATAAGAATTTAACTATTAGTCAACCTTTTAGAAACGTTATTATGATTCAACATTTTCAGCATAATTACTATCTAATACCTATGTACATTAAAATATTCTGTACAGAAAGCATTATTACCTATAGAAAATTAATTTACCCATATAAAAGTGTTATATTAACAGTGTTTACATTTTATTTGCAGGGCTGTAACAGATCCACGAGACGGTCGGAGAGTTGCACTAAAAAAACTTCCAAATGTTTTTCAATCATTAGTCTCCTCAAAACGAGTGTTTAGAGAACTAAAAATGTTGTGCAATTTTAAGCATGAAAATGTAAGTTTTTTCGAGTGTATAATTATTCGAATACCAAAAAAAATTATAAATTTTTTTTACTCCTAGGTTTTGTCCGCCCTTGACATTCTGCAACCGCCTCATTTGGATTTCTTTCAAGAAATGTATCCTTTTTATTATGATGTAATCGATCAAATACAGATAGGACACGCCATTTATGGATAATCAGGAATAAATGTGTTGTATTTTCAGTAATATCTACTAAGATATGTGTGCGCGCAATGAAGTGATGGATATTTTGATGACATTAAATTGTAGAGTAGTATAGGAGGACCGTACATTCCTATCGAGGTAATACGCATTAGTCACCCGGTGTTTAACAATGTTACTTATCTACCTCGCCATTATAAACCAGTATTTCCTGTCTCTTCTTTGTTTCTCATAGGTCTTTAATAATGGCGGGTTTATTTGCCCTAGACTGGGCGGCTCTATAACGCAGTTATACACATTCATATTTACAATGCTTGGATAAAATACATATGTATATCTCGTGAAAAAGGGGGAAATTCAATGTTGGTTCCGTAATAGTTAATAATGTTCATTATATTTATTCTTGTGTTTTCATAACATTGGAATCTTGTTTTGTCTTGACTTACGTGTATGTGTGTGTGTGGTAACCGTAAACGTACTCATGTATACAGTGTTTATTGTTTCATTTGAGTGCATACACCTCGAAGAAAATGACCAAGAATTATTGTGAGTATGGTGGTTAGATCGACAGTTATAGTAAATAATGTATGAAGGAAACGATATTTTTAACATACAGTTGATGGTCAATCAACATCTATGATGACGGGTTTTTTTTTCTTTTTTGTAAACCAATATCAGCGTGCGGCACATTATACTATTTCATTGAGTTGTAAATACAAAGATGCAAAACTTGTAGAAAGTTAAAATATCATTTTTTCAATTGTTCAAAATTGTTTTGTAAATCTACCATTGTCGTTAAATCATGTTAAGATTTCATAATGCGAACAAAATAAAATAAATTTATTGCACTATTTCTCATAAACTGTTTTAGAATATAAAACCTTTCATAGAAATGCTTATGATTATCAATAGACAAGCGCTAAATAAATATTACTTATATATATAATTAGGTTGTCGTTATCAAAACGAGACTCATTCGAATACTTTTTTGATATTTGAAAAATCTTACCGTTATGTTCCATCCTACAAAAAAAGCAATAGTGATCAGTAGACCGTTTAAATAAAGTGAGGGCGAAGGTCATTCAACTCATATTTTGTCGTCAATCGCCCTTCGTGAAAGTATATACGTTTTCCCCTTTTTTCTTTTTTGACGGTTACTTTTTGAGTTAAAACCAGTTGAGCTGGCTATAGAATACACGTGCATAGTATGATTATTGAATGCGGGCATTGTTCGAGTATATGGTTACAACCCTCATTTATAAAAACTCATTTCCCCGTGATCATCTGCTCCAATCAATAATATCCAAACTAATACAAACAAGCTGCTTATAAATATAGAGGGCGAGACAGAAATAGTGTGTGTGTAAACAATCCTTTGGCTTTTTATTATTTTATTTGAATCCTTCTAAAATGTTTTGTCCCAATACAAGTATTCGTCGTTACTACATTTTTAAAATTGTGTATTTGACCTAATCTGTCTAAATAAAATTAATTTCCTATGAATTTTATAATGAGATTTTATTTCCGAACTTAATAATAAATGCAAGTAAAATATTTATCAATTATAAATTATATTATTTATTCAATTATTATTTGTTATTCGTATGAAAATTGTTTTGGTCGCGGAGATTACTATCATTGAAGTTCTACAATTAACCCTCGTTCGATGAGAAAAATATAAATTTCTTGATGTTATAAACGTTGTTTTCCCGCTCTTATAATAGAAACGGACGTAGTAACTACGGCACTAACCGATTTCCCCTGGAAATCCGATTCTCGATTCTTCCGACCGAGTTTCCAACGGTTTTCCGACTTCAATGACAAATTGACGACGGTGGTGCTGGAAAAAATAAGTCACAACACTTTCTCTTCGACTCGACGACGATCGGGAAATTTCTTTTCCGTTGCGTAGTTTTTTTATTTTTATTATTGTTACCGAGTTTTATTATTCTTCGCGTTTATTATTTCGACGGAGACACCACTACGCGTGCGTGTGCAAGTATACGTCATATGCTGTGTACGTCTTTTCGTCCATCTCTATTGTGTTCAAAACATACCGAAAAATCTGTTTAAAAGGGTCCTTGTCGTGTGTGTGTGTGTGTGTGTGTATGTATTTGAATTCTCGTCCCGCTTGCGCGTGCGTGAACCGAACGTTTGGGCGTGCGCGCGTGTAAGGAGCGACGGGGTCTACCTGTGCACAGAAATACGCGCGCGACGAGTTTACACAGGAGGCGCTGACACCGGCCGCGCCGCACAGGGGGAAAAACTGGTTCATCGTACAAAGACCCATAGACCCGGGCGAAGACGTTCCGCGTGCGCGTGTGCCGGCCCCGCGCTGTTCCGCCGCCGATACGCCACTCGCGCGGCCTTAGATGTGTGTACGGCGGCGGCCAACACAAAACGGACGGATGCGACCGCTGCCGTTGCCTCGTCGGCGGTGGCTGCGGCTATCACCCGTCGGTGGTGCGGGGGAGGTGTCGAAATGTTGGTAACCTTGACGGGAAAATAGTTGTGTGTGTGTGTGCATTGCCGGCCGGGTGTAATTGACCTGTGCCGCCGCGCGTCGCCTCTTGGTCGAGCGAAAAAAAAAAATAATAATAATAAAAATAAAGAAAAAACGTATTTCATACATAATAATGTATATGTTTACGTGTATAGGTACCTATTATTAAATAATATATGCGAACGCGCTTACGTTCGTCGCCGACGTCTTTTCCTGTTTATATAGACCGCAGCTTCCCCTCGTCTGATCCTTCGCGTCCATGTACGATTGTTACATTCATAACTTATATATATATATATATATATGTGTGTGTGTGTGTGTATTCTTCACGGGTTCCGTACGAGTTTGCGTACATCGTTTTTTGTGATTTGTAAGGTTTTTAAATGTTTTAGTTATTTTTTTGTGTTTTTAGTTTTAATCTACTGAGTATTCTTCCCTTGTCTTCCGCAGTAAAGCGTAGAGACGATTTCAAAAACATTACACGGCGCGCGTTTGCTCACATCATCCATACCGAAACCGTATTTATCCTCAGTTTCCGACCGCGTTTCGAACTACGAAATAATATAATTTATTATCTTTCTCTTGCATCTCCTCGATTTGGGTTATGGTACGCGTGACACTAATTCCGCGAACGGACGCACACGTGTAGAAAATAATACGACGGTCGCCGATGCGCAATAATTTCGTCTTTGGTTGTTCCACATTCGACGGGCAAACCTTACGCGCGCAGCGATCGCGGGGAAACGATATTTTGGTTTAAGCGCCGCCGACGTGACGAAAACTATTACAAAGACACGCGAATAATGCGATCGTCCGAAGGTTGCTGTACACATATGGAACAATAAACCCGTATGTGTTGTTTTATTTTACATTAATTTATTTTCCTTGTAAATCGTGTTTCCCGGAACAAATCCCACGCGCAGAACTCGAGAACAAGGAGGTCACAAAACGAACATGGCATTTTCGTCACGATACGTTTTTCGTAGACGCCAACAACCAGTGGCTTATAAAGGGGGGGGGGGTCTAATGGGCTACAGCCCCACTCCCCCGAAATATTTTAAAAAACTTAAAAATTATTTTAAACGTTTGTTATATTTTAATGGTGCTTTATGCTTATTTAGAATTTGCGTCCAACGTCAAATCGTTTTGGGACATACTGTAAATGAAATTTAAATAAGCACCTACTGTGTCTTGTTAGTAATTCTTAAATAGCAGTGTTAATTTAACTCTGTCTATAGTAACCCATCCTGAAAATATTTTCTGTATACTCTACTACCAACAACCGCGTAACGCTGCATGTGACAGTCGCCTACCGTGTGTCCTCCGCCGGTGGGCTAGGGGTTCGGTTTTCTTGTTTTTTTTTTTTTGGGACGTGTCATTTTTGTTTCATCTGCTCGTGTTATGCAATTGGTTCGGTGTTCGATTGCTTCTCTCTACATTACATCGAGAATAACCTTGAACGCGTTTACGGCGGTAATTTCCTACGATATCGGTTACGACCTGCGCTGCATCAACGTCCGATTTGGTGACGGACTCGGCTATTGTCGCATTCCCACTCACGTCAAGGGCAACACCGGCGAATGTTTTTTATACTCTCTCTTTCGGCTTCTGAATCTCTGATTCTCCACCACTGACAAATTCTCAAAATCATAAACATATATATACATACTTACAGCACGGACGTTTTTCCCTTTTCCTGCTCTCGTATACCATTGTAGGTATTGATCATCCAACGAAATACATATATAATAACTACTGTTGCTCACGGACGAAAGAAAGGAAACTATCGTATCCCACGGCGGTGGAGCCCTTTTTGCTTTTTCCCCAAAGTCCGCGCCCATTGCAGTTTGGTGTATATGAGTACTATATGTACTATGTATATATATGGAATGTATTAGGTATATATATATGTGTGTGTGTATGTCGCGTGCGATGACGTGGTAGCGTTGCTGGTAGAAGGGTGCGGTGGCAGCGGAAGTACGTAGTAAGTAAGCCGCGTAACCCCGTATACCGCCTTTGCAACAGCCCCTGGTGGGCGCCACCCGGGCCGAAAGGGAGAAAGGGCAGTAATTTAAAATCCCACGGTAGTGGCGGGGTGCGACGTAATGATACGGTCGTCATGGTTACGGCCGAGGCAGATGGCCCGGCAACGCGACCCGAGACCGACGACGCCCCCGTTTCCTCTCTCGACCGCCATGTCCCTTCAACCCCGCACCGTTGTCATTCTTTGGTAACGGCGTGTGGGCCGCCAGAAGGGGATTAATAATTTTGCGAGCCCGGGAGATCGTTAAAAACGCGAGACGATGTCTTCGCGACCTCGCGATTCGTATTTGGTATGTACATATATGTTTTATACATTATTATTTTATGTATATTTGTATCTACATACTTTTGTCTTGGACTAAAATTTGTACTTCGTTTACATGCTATAAAAAGTCGTCCCCTTACATGAGTAAACAAACCAATCGAAAGGGTAATACACACGAGTATTCGCACCTCTTGATACCGTTTTATTTTTCTGTATATCTTGCAGATGTACCTATTCACCGCGCAATGGGCATATACACTTAAACATAATATTAGTTTAATATACTTAGTGCCCGATTCTCCCCTACGTGCAGTTTATAGGTACATTTTACCTTTACTGTTTCTCGCATACAGTATTAATATTCGTTTAAAGTCCGTACCCTAAAAGACGTTTATGTACGAAAGTTGCACTCTGCCGATGGCGCGTATTTCAGATCCAATGATGACCGCTGGCTACTGTGTCACATGTTGTTAATCAATTCGTTTATACATTTATATTTATTGTGTTTAAACCACAATTGTTCAATATTTATCTTTATATGAATGTGTACAACGTACGAGTGCGTAGTATAATGATTCCGAACGGGATCCGTTCGCAGAGCTATGCAATTAACGCGACTTTAATCATCAGAAGGTTATTGACTGTTGTTTGTCGTATTACGAGTACGTGCAGTTACAAGATTTGTTTTTGTTCGTGGATTTCTTTATAATATTCTTCTTTTTTTTTTCAAATTATATTGTAGACTGAACTAAAATTACGATATGTGATGTATAATGCAAATAAAATATGTTAAACTGTATTCCTAATAAGTATATCATATATATTTGTACGATATGTACACAATAACCGCTGCGTCTGGGTTATCATTGAGATTCATTTTTTTCATTAAAAATTTTTTTTTTGATTAATTTTAATAATGTAACATATTTAGTTATATGGGTTAGAGTTCATTATGGTTTGACCCTGTGTGTTTATGTACACTATGTTTTTTGTATATTGTATAAATGTATATATACATACATACTATATATACTCATAAGCGCGTGTGTGCGTACAAATAATGTTAATCGGCCAAATATTTATTTAATGACAAGTGTGTATTCTCGAAAATAAATCTTTTAAGCACCTACCCGAACGATCATGTATAGATTATTTTTTATAATGATTGTCTCGTGAATGTGTAATGATTAAAATGCACTCAACTCAAATAATCGTTCGACTTGTAATATTGAACCTTAAATTGCGTTCATTTAAACCCGTGTATATGCTGTGCTGCAACCTCAATGTTCACGAGAAATTTACGCATGTAGCTGGAAACTCGTCCGGTCGGCTCATTCGACCGATGACGAGGTTGTAATTGCAATATCGTCATTTGCAGTCTGTGCTTGTATTAAGTGTATATGGGTGGTTTTTCTATATTATCTCGTTGAATAAACTTATTAAAGTGTAGATGTATATAATTTATAGAACAATTAAACAATTTCAGCTTTTGAGGTCATTCAATTTCTATCCGATTTGAAAAATATATTTTAGTGATACTAATTACGGTCGTATACAATTTAACGGAACGAGGCCGTCAGTCTTGACTTTGTTATTTCATCTGGTTACATAGTATGGTTATTGTGCCTATGTAGTCTCATTTAAATTTAAATATTCAGACTATTTTTTTATTTTTTTTGGTACGCATATGGCGCATGAATATATTTGATATTTACAATCTAACGCTGATAACGGCCACATGCGCGCTTAAATAAATTCGACTCTATTCTCTCGTACTCGTACGCTATCCTGCCCGCCAGCACATTATTTTTCTCTCTCGGCGCGATTTTATACAGACTAATACCCCCTTTGTGTGTAGTTACCGTCGGTGGATTAACTCAAAAATTATTCCGCGCAGATCTCTGTGTCATTGAAACACAAATAAATTTAAGCAATTAAAATGTGTGTTCATTTTGTGTGCACACGCACACGCACACACGCAGGAATGTATGCTGAGAACTGTAGCGGAAATTGAATTATTAAAACGTGTATTATATGTACAATGCACTCGTAAACTCTGCAAGTATAATATATTATATATATATATATATATATGGGATTGCAAGTCTTGTACAGTCCCTGGTGAAACGCAACATTTATTTAGCAACTAGTTACCTACCTATCCTTTAAAAAATCTACTGATCGTCATTATGGCCTCTTAGCGATGTACGATTGCATACGAGCTTTGCTTTGATTAATCGTGATAATAGAACGTGTACTGTATGTTAACAACTTAAACGGGTTATTTTTAATTGAAAATTTCATATTTAAGTGAAGTTAAAATTCCGTTTGTTAAAAAAACGTTCTATCAAATGTTATTAGGGACTAAAAAGAAATGTTTACTCGATAACGAAGTACATATTTTGAGATTTTCAATCGAATATTAAATTTGTTATTTTTTTACCCACTGGAGTAGAAACTTATTGCGTGAGGCTTGTGCTCGTTTATGGGACAACCCTCGAACGATGGGTCTTTATTAATTTCGCACGCGCCCCTCGTACAGTACGATGGTAGTCGTACGGTAAGGGTATATCTAAAACAGGGTAGCCACCGCCCTCGCTTAAGTTTTTCCGAACCACCCGCTGCCTTAAACGCGGAGGGGGAGCGCATTTTAGCCAAACAGTATTTATACGCCTTTACTATTCGGTGACGTCAGAATAGAATTATAAAAATATTTTATTTTACACTATCAGTCAATATAAACAGTCGTTCGTAGACTGGGTTAAATATATACGTATTCTAATGATTATTTTTATGTGACGCATCGTCTATAGTCATAGTACTTATGATACACTTCTTCTAGACATTTTATTTATTTTTCCATGTGATCTACTCAAGATTATGGGTGCCATCTTATGTTTCTCTTCGTGTCTTGTGTTTTGTTCAAAAATCATTAGAGAATAATAAGCTCACACATATATTCATTTATGTAGCATTTTCCTTTTATATTTCAACTCGTTTTGCTGGCCCAGTGAGTATAATAATATGGGGCGTTCAAATGCGCAACTAACTCTGCGTTCGTATTTACGACAGCGTCACTCGAACCCTTCGGTAATGGCTCCTATGCAAAAGTTTTCGAAGGGTAAAACCGCCGTGATGTGCGCGTAAAGTGAACACGAGTGGAAGGAGAAGGGCACAAACGCGTATGAGGATGTAAATAACAGATATGCCTGTTAGATATACTAGATATTTTTTGAAAAAAATATTCCAAAATATTGTGTTTATCTAAAATAACTGAAATATCTAAAATATCAAAAACAACTGGTTCAGGTAGTCGCTGTGGGCCTTAAGTCGTTATTGGGGTTATATGATTTTTTTTTTCCCCATGGAATACAGCATTCTGTGAAAGATTAATGTTTGTGCCTTTTGCGCTCAGGTATACTTGTTCCCATACAAACATTCCGTTAATATTGAATTTATTCCATCTATTAGTTATGGTGTAATATCTACCTATTACGTATAACGATGGTGAACAATATATAGAAAAGTTTTTTTATGCTTTACATTTTATTTAGTTCACGTCCCTTGTTAAACTATATATATATAGTATAAATGTGATTTTAAAATATAATTATTATTTGTTGACATAGCGCGTTAACTAGTTTTTGAAGGAAAAATTACAATATACTGCTACATTGTATAATGCACGACATCGGCTTACAATTTTCATTCGGATACTTTTTCACGCATCATTCATTGTTATTAATTTTTTTTTTTTACTTTTACTTCATCCTTGACTGTTACATTTAAATGCAAAGTATTATATTTGCATCAAGGATTTATAATGATTGCCATAATGTGTCGTCGTCGAATAAACACAAGCGTGCATTTATACCTAAATACGATTATTTCAAATAAAAAAAAATATATATTTTATGAAAGTAACATGTTCCTTCGAGTGTTAATAATTGATAACATAATCATTCTTTGTTTTTTTATGAAAAAAAGTATTTAAGCGTCTTGTAATTTTTTGTTCCGTTTAAGCAGTTTTTTATGCTATCTAATCATAAAATGCCACGTGATGATAAAATACTATATGTACAGGGTCAAGAGTGTGTGTGTATATATATATATTATTTATAGATAATTTATTGTTGGCAAACGTTGACAATAATTATCAGTCAAGGATATGCACGCACGCTGCAGTTTCTATTGTGTTTCTCGATATCGAGAAATCGGAATTTTCAGCAGTTTGTCTAAACTGACAGTTTATAATCGATACTTAATTTGTTGTATTATCGTTTTTAAAGCAATAATTTTTTTTTTTATTGCTTTCGATGACTGCATCGTAAACTTAAAAATATTTGTAGTCTTTATTCGAAGCATAAATTCAGTAGAATAATGCATGTGTATCATTTATACTATTTTATTCTACAGTCATTATTTGTATTACAAAACTGCTTCAAATGTATTAATATATGGTTATTACACAACTGCAATTTATTTGACACATAGAATAAGTATGCGTTGTCGATATTGTATCTTTACTATTTGGACAATATTTTATAAAATATTGATTTAATATCGACATCGTAAACTTTTTGTTAAAAATATAGTACTATTTAAACGAATTATTGCATATTTTTGCTGTCGACATTACATCGCCTGTTTTTTAACTATTAGACAAGCTTTTATAGCTAAATAATATTTAATAACATTTCATTTGAGAGATCTGATTTTATTTAAAAAAGATACTCCGCCAAGCGTAATACTCGTATAGTGTACTAACGTAATATTGTCATCTATACCAGTATTTTTCTTTTATTTTTAAAACTATAAAAATATTTCCCCCGAAACACGTGGTGCTACTCTAAAGATCTATCCATCATTCTAAAAATACGGTTTGTTAGTTCTATAACTAGACCCTGCATGTCATTTGTTTACATCTAAGGACAATACACTCTTCTCATGTTTATATTTCATAAATTTGTCCCGATTTTCAAGTGTTGATGTTGTCATTATTGTCGTAAATTCCCTTACATCATTACGTTCTCACAGATACGTTATTACTGAGCTAATGCAGAGTGACTTACACAAAATTATAGTGTCGCCACAGCAGCTATCACCGGACCATATAAAAGTTTTTCTGTACCAGATTTTAAGAGGTCTCAAGTACCTTCACTCAGCACGAATATTGCACAGAGACATCAAACCTGGCAATCTACTCGTCAACAGTAATTGTATTTTAAAGGTACGTATATGAGGTTTTCAACGTATAGATATTCCAATTTACAAATAATATTACTATTAATATTTACTATTTTATATACATAAATATATTTCATTTAAATTAGTAGATACGTGATAACAGTCTTTTTTACATCCAGAGCGCGTATTTTGGCCTAAATATGTAATAACGTCTGTTTTTATCTAGAGAACGTACGGTTTATTAATTTCACGCGCGAGTTCAACCACTATACGCAAACAATTCGTTGGTATTTCTGCAGTTTGCTGTTGTTACTTAATTAAAAAACATATATTACAACTTACGTTTATATAATAAAAAAATATTAAAATTTTTTTCTTTAGTTGCGAATTTAATTTTAAATACAACATCTGGATTTTTACATTTGTTTGTGTCTTGTCTGCATACGTACGCATTTATGTATTTTTTGTGAAAATTATCGTAATTTTGTCTACTTCCTATTTTCTTAGTCGGCTCTGTTAACTGATAAGACGAGTTTGCTGGACATATACTGTATAATTTTTAATGATTTCCGCTCATCATATTCATCAGTACCTCATCTGTGTTGTTTGTCAAACCCATTTTCTCTTTCTGTTTTCAAACCGACTCCACGCATTGTATCCAGGCTATTACCAACGGAATAATATTTTAAAAGCATTTCGATGTACGTACGTTATCGACCTACTTTATATCTATCTATTACTTGTTAATATAGACTAAACGAACAACAGTCGTTTCGTCTCAGTGTAGTTGTACTTTTTTGTTTGAAAAAATGTAATGAAAAAATATTCGCAAGTCCTTGATACCACCGTTATATTAGACGTGTCAATAATATTGCACATGAGCGCCGCGTGTTGTATTTGTACAATTTATTATAATCACCCTCGTATGTGTACGGCAGATATGCGACTTTGGTCTGGCCCGAGTAGAAGAACCGGACGAGACGAAGCACATGACTCAAGAAGTGGTTACCCAGTACTACAGGGCGCCGGAAATATTGATGGGCGCCAAGCACTACACCGCGGCCATAGACGTGTGGAGCGTCGGTTGTATATTCGCCGAGCTAGTCACCCGGCGGATACTGTTCCAAGGCCAAGACACGGTTCAACAAGTAAGCCGCGGCCAGAATCCCGTCCCTCGTCCACCGCGCGGTTGGGGGTGAAAGGGGGACCCGTTTCTCGATGTCGTAACACGATATATATCGTACATGCGAGTTCGTGTTGTGTACACGGCGCGCGTATATATTACATTTACCTACCTCATCGCATCTCCGGATGTTTTTATTATTTTTGATTGTTGTTAACTTCACTGCGCCGTCGGCGATATACGCCTTCGCGTCCGTACGTACAAATACATCACGCACACGTGTTTTGCTTTTCCTTGCCGCAGTTGGAGCTCATAACGGACTTGCTCGGCACGCCGACGATGGAAGACATGGCGCACGCGTGCCCGGCCGCCCGTTCCCACATGCTCATACGGCGCATGAAGAAACCGTCCATGTCGTTGCTGTACTCCCTGTCATCGCTGATGACCCACGAGGCGGTTCACCTGATTTCGCAGATGCTCGTCTTCAACCCGGTAAGCACCCGTCCTCGCATAAACGGGGTCGTACGTCGGTCCGCGCCAGGACGTTTTCCGCGTGCGCTCCTTCGTTCGCCCATCAACGGTAGCTCATCGCTAACGTCGTTCGTTGTTGATTTTTTTTTCCCCCCCCCCCCCCAGGACAAACGTATGTCCGTCATGGACGCGCTGGTTCATCCGTACATAGACGAAGGCCGGCTCAGGTACCACAGCTGCATGTGCAAGTGCTGTTTCACCGTGCCGTTGACGGGCCTCAGACATTTTTGTATGGACTACGAACCGATCGCGCCGCAGACGTTCGACGACAAATGGGAAAAGAAGCTGTCGAACGTGCAACAAGTCAAAGGTATAGTTGGCGTACTCGCCGTACGTTTGCTCGTCTATCATAGTTTTTTCTGTCGACCCTTGTCCAGAAATCTGTAAACGGATCAACTTCATTTTGTTTGGTCAAGTTTTCAGTTTTTGGTTTTTATAATAATCAATATACGAAAAAGGCGCATTAAAGAGTAGACGGTTTTCATAAAATTCTAGTTATTGAAATTGATAATACAATTTTACATGACCATAAAATGCCATAAAAATATTTATTATAATAAAATAGACAAATGATAATAACAATTAATGGTACATGCGGAATTCTTTATCGGTGATTGTTTTTGCTTTTTATTGCTAAAACAATGTCACCGCTAATGTCCCTAACATCCACTGTGCATTGTTTCCATAATATGCTATATAATATAATAATGTATTCGTGATATTGATTCGTGTATCCTTTTTTATTTTGTAGAGGAACTTCACAAGTTTATCGGCGACCAGTTAAGTAGTCACCGTGTACCATTGTGCATAAATCCACAGTCGGCAGCATTTAAAAGTTTCTCGAGGTAAGGCTGTGAGGAACATTCGACTCTTCTGAATCACCAAATATACTACACCTCGACTAACCGGTACCTATCTATTATTTATACATACCTATTTATAACACTGAGGTAAAAGCATGTGCACTTATGGTAAACCTCGGAAACCTTGAACGTATGCGATGTGTATATAAATACAATGGTTATTCGTCCACTAGCGTTGCATGCAGTTTTTAATGTTATATATGTGTTATCTGATATTTTATTTTAAAAATTAGTCTATATGAATATAATTAACGGGTGTTTTCAATAGGTACTTTTCCTTCTTTTGTCCAACGTTTTATATTTTGTACGTAATCCAATTTGCTTATTGCGTATCGCGCCAATAAGTTGTAAATTTACACTTCTTATAAACATCGAAAAAATAATTCATATCGTGTTACTATAATTCGTTCTTAATTTTTAATCGGTTTACGAATGTACAAGCATGACTTGAGCGTTTTATTTTTTAAATGCAACAATAGTAAATACATACTTCGTTAACAATTTTTTGGCTAGAAGTATTTAATAATAATTATATAATATTACGCATTAAGTAAATTTGATTTCGAATTTGGTTTTTTTCGTGATAGCAATGTGGTGCGTCAGCACTGTACTTGGTTTTATTTTAACACATGTGTGTAGCGCTTTTATATCTGCTATATCTGTGTAAGGTAAATTGTATTCAATAAATTGAAAAAGTTTTATGAATCAAATATGACTTATTCTGCTTTTTAAACTTACAGTGTATAATAATCAATAAATGATTACAAAAGAAAACATTTTTTAATCAAATTTGAGTAGTACTTACTATTTAGATTTCGTTCGTGTCTTTAATACTTTTAGTATACTGATGAAATCTTATATTTTATTTTTTATATTTCTCTTTTTCATTATGATTTTTCACGAATAATTTAATTGTATATTGTAAGCTATAATTTAATTTACTATAACTGGGGTCAATTTACCACATTATTCTTATACGATGTGACTTTTTCTTCTCAAAGACTTGTGTATATATTTATATTATTTTGATAGTATAGTACTGATATAACGTGTAAGTTGGTGATGTATATTGGAATAGATAATATAATATAAAAAAATATGATGTCATTGTAAAAATGTATATATTCGTGATTGAATCCGAGTACATAATTAACATAATTACTAAGTATTAATTTGGTAATAATATGTTATAATAAAACGGTGACGATACTACGATACTGGGTGTAATATTACCGAATCACGGTTTGTTGTTTGGTATCGATTTATTTAATTCCCTCTTCCCCTATATCTGCAAAGTTGATTTTTAACAAATAAAAAGTTTTCTTTTACGTTAAACCATTTATTATACGGTTTCCGGACAAACGTGTTTCAATACGAAACTTTATTCACGATGTATACGATTTCCGGCCCCGGGTTGTTAAGCGAAAATGTTATGCGTAACATAATGATGGAGTTATGCGTAAGGCTTCTGCGGTTTCGGCGCGTATATTTTCCCAAGCTAAAGTACGTGTTGCACGCCACTTTTTCCTCCCCCTTTTACGGTTAATGCTAATTTAATAAAATTTATAATTGACTATTCTCGTATGTTTCAGTGATGTTTGATCGATGCAGACTGCCTCATTCACCTATATGTATATATATATAGATTTATATATATATATGTGTGTGTGTGTGTGTGTGTACAAACGTGATAACCGGATCTCAAATTGCGCCCCCCTGAGACCGAGACTGAATGATATAAAACACAATGAAATCGAGACAAAATGATTAAACTAAAATTGTATATAGTCCTAATTTTTTTCTTTGTATGTGTGAGCTGAAAGCTTGATTTTTACTCATTTAACTTATTTATAAGCTCATTGCCCATTTTTTTAGTATGCTTATTTTCTTATGATTATTTTCATTACTTTTTTTTTTTTTGACCAACGATGAAATTAAATCGTCATACCATTTACTTTTTACCATGATGATTTTAGGCTTGGATTTTTTTCCAATTTTTTTTTAAAATAATACAATAAATAATAACTTATTTTGTTAAAATAAAAAAAAATCCGAGAAGAAAAATTTTTACTCGTTTCTTAAACTCTATTCGTTCAAATATTTTAAAGATATTTCATTAACATCATCGGGTTAAAACGTAACATAAGCTTTATACAGTTTTATTATTAATATATTTGTCGAAGAGAGACTAAAAACGTAATTAAAAAAAAAAAAAAAATTAAAAAAAACGAGTTATGTGATAAAATATAATGACGCGCCGTATACACGGTAAATAATTTGTAAATAACTTACCAATACCTAAGTGATTTTTTTTCAAATGTTTTTTAAATGTAAATAATTATTTGTAAATAGATAATGTACATCTCACTTAATTGTCATGTACTTTTCTCGTGCTCGCGAAGATCACACCGTATGGTAATGTTACAGTTATAATTACCCAAATTCTTTCTGTATCGTTCCATTGACATATATTATTTTGTATTTTATAACAATCAAATACTGTATACATTCGGAATGTTAGTTTTTAAGAAACTTAGGCCGTCCTCCCATTAGGACAACGTGGCGCGATGCGATTTTAAATAAATACCGCGTGATAATCATTTTATAAAATACGGATTACTATATCGGAGACTTACTACTAACACGATGCGATGTGACTACGACGCGACACGATAACAACTAATAGTGCACGACTAGTGCTGTCAGTCGCTTGATGAATAGTTGCCATTAGATTACTTGGATTAAACTCGTGTTTATTTAATTATATTTTATTATTTCATTATTAATATAATAGTATTATATAATATAATAATTATTTATAGATTACTATAATTATAAAATTATGTCGAAAAAAAAGAACTTTCTTTCGAAATTCGATAAAATTATTGAAATTTGACGTCATCTTGTATTAATTCATTAGCGGCAACAAAAATACAACAGTTAATATTATTCTGTATGTAAGGATGTACCCAATATCTCCTTTTCCGTTTCTTGTAGTTTTGATAATACCAGTATAATGTATTGTCATCTTCGGACGGCAACATGTTTGCAACTGACCAATTCTAGTTGCTGAAACATCGTCTATAGTGTGCAGAACCCACGAAATCAGATCGTACGATATTTTACTAGACAACTTTTTTAGTCGCGTCAACGTCGTGTCGCGTCGCGTTTCTCTAGTGAGAGGACGGCTTTACGGGTCGGACTTTTCAAAAATTATTATTAATTTGCAGATTTTTGAAAAACGTAATATTATAATATTTGTGTGAATTATTATTATAATTTTTTTTCTGTTTATTTAAATAGCGCGGGTGATTTATTAAAATTTTAATAATATGATATTGTTTTTTTCTCGTTTACGTTATTTATGGAAACTCCTCAAACATATAGTAGGGACTAGAAGTCCCTATTACACATGTAATTATAAATACACGTGTATTTAAAAAAATATATTTTTATTATTAATTTGAATTTGGGTTAACATACTTATTCAATTATACTTGTATTTGAATTTATGTAATTGAAGTACTTGTTACCTATAGTAAAAAAAAACAAAACGATTCAACGCGCGCTCCTTTTAAAAATGATAAAATTTTATTGTAAATTTTAGTTTTATTTTTAATATTCCGTGTATTTAAATTATACGAACTCAAACACAAGTATAATTGTGAAAATACTAAATACGTCAATTCAAACTGAAATTTACAACGAAAATGAATTTATTTTTTAAATACACGTGTATATTAATTACACGTGCTTCGTGTACACGTGTATTTAAATTACATGTCTAAAATCATAAGCACTAGTAGGGACTACATGCAATTTGTGTCTTTTGTTTACTTTTCTTTCTTACGATTAAATATTTCCTTTTGAGCGCCATCCGTTATCCACCACTGCCATCAAAACAAACAACCCAAACAATCCCTCAAATTTTTCCAAATTTTAACTAAATAGTTTAAATAACCTCAAAATAATGTATTACTATTCAATCACAACAATCGAGGCATACAAAAATCATCTTAGCGATTTCTTTTGAACAAGAATGAAAGTTGATTTTCGAAAACTTAATATTGCAATCATTCGATAAGATACGTATACGCAGAGCGGTTATTCTTCACTTTCGGAAGTTTCTAACTTGTTAGAATTTATCTTTTACAAACATTCTGTTGCGTACGTATTTTAAACCCATCAAATATTATGTACAAAACAAATTCGTCGAAACATCTCATGATATATTAATTCACTCTGTTGATATATAAACGTATTTGTATATAATTTCTTATCACGATAACGCTTTTTGGTTTAGCCTTTAGTGCTTTTATGATGTTTGTTCCTATAAAACAGAGATTAACCGCCTGTGACTTAAGGATACGCCTCAATGTTTTTTTTCTTGTCACAAAATAATAATAATAATACACAAATTAACACTTTTTTGGAATATGATATTTATAATGTATACAACCAAATCCTCAATTGCTTGATTTACTTTATCTTAACTTGATAATTAGTGAAAATAATGAAAATAACTATTTACATCATTGCAGCTCATTAAATATCATTGTTTTGTAACATTTTAGAAAATTGGCTCTTCCCCGAAAAAATTGTCGACCTTCGCAGTGAATAATCTCTTACGATGATCTATCGAAATGTTTCATGATTACAAGAATAGTCTCACTCCGACTGTGCATTATAGCAAAAATAAATCCAAGTTGTTTACGTCGTAACTAGTATTTTTATCCCAAATAGATGACAATTACGAAACACATTAATTATATTATAATAACCGTCGGTGGCGGATGATTAAAAACTAGTGGTGACCAACGATATGATCTTAACTATCATTATCATATAAATTTGGTCGATATTATATCCAAACACATCGAATTTATTAAACATAAAAAATTTTTTTCATACTTCCAATGGACACTAATCATAACTGATGAATTTAATAAGCGTCAGTTTTTACTGTGTAAATTATATTTGTTATATATTACATAAATAATAATTATAAACAATATTTTGTTCTTTTAACTATATTTTTGTTTATTAATTTTATTTCTACTTAATTTCAAATCTAAAATAAATGAAAATAATAAATAAATTCAGTATCATTATCATTGACCATCACTTGTTAAAACTCGGTTGTTATACTTTAAAATTCTGGTGACCATACTGTAAATTCAATTTAATGTGGTTTTAATTTTAAAAAAAGTTTGAATTATTTAGAAGAAAGAAGAAAATAATTAAAATCAAAAAGTGTTGGAACATTTTTATTTTAATACATATTTGCTATTTAATTTAGTTAAGTTATTTATATAAGGAACACAGATATGTATTTCAACTTATGTATAGATATGTAGGGTAACATCTTATTTTTTGCCTGAATACTAGTACATAAATTGATTCACACTTCAAATTAAGTTTATTTAAACATATATTTAATTAATAAATTCGAATTACCAGTTCTGGTAAAAAAAATTCGAGTTATTGAGGTGTTTTCATGGAACCAAGAATTTAGTTCGATTTGTTGAGGTTATCAAATTATCGAGAGTCCACTGTATATTAAAGGTTCAAGCGATGTGCGTAAACTAATCCGAAACTGAAAAAACTAAACCCTAATGACTGTGTATAATAAATCCGAGGATACATTATATTATTTATTATAAACATACATATTATCAATACAGAATGTGAGTTATGCAAATAGTAAAATATTATATTTCACCCGCGAAACCGAAGTTGCTATTCGTACCAGGCACACGCCGTTATGTTAGATGCACTAGTCATATACAAAAGGGACGGACGTTCGGCAGTAGGTACGCGCAAAGACGTATTTAGAGTTTTGACTTTTCAGGTACAGTTTTATTGCCACCTTTACACATATACGAAAACGATTTTCAAGAAAGGTAAAAAATATTATCTACGAATTTTACGGGATCAACTTTTGATAATATTATCATGGGTTAGGTTAGGTTAGCGTGGAGATAAAAGGACTTAACGTCTTATAAGGAAACAAAATGCTTACGGAATCTTCTACCGGTAGATGACATCGCACAGGACTCGGAATTCTGAAATTAAATTATTTAAAAAAAAAAACCACGCTGCAAAACGTTGCGCCGGCAAAGAGCACATGACAGCAACCATTACAGCATGTGTGTGTGTGGGCGAATGTAAATTCCTACACGAGATATGGTAGGTAAAAATCATCCTCGGGTATGTCAGTTCATATATGTACAAAAAAAAAATATATCAATCCGTAAGTTCCCACACGAATATAAATTTCTTTCCTATTTTATTAAGACTCAGAACTGACAACGTAGTTGGTGTGATTAAAATTTGTTTTGTGTTTTGTAAAGAAATCTAATACAATTTTTAATTGAATCTTGTCCATATATAATAATGTATAGTCGTCCACATATTACCTGTGATTTATATTATAATAATATACATAAATAATAATAATGATAATAATATAAAGTACATTTTATGTGGCTTATTAATATTATTATAAAACTCAAACCTTTAACATAATCATACTGCTCACATATTAATTTTAAGTTGTGTTCTAATTATTTGTTGTTTAAATAATTTTATTATTTTATTTATTTTATTTCTTCTTTCGTGTCGTTCAGATCTCAGTCATCCAAAAAGTAACGACTGCTGCTGCTTTGTCATTTGCCAGGTCTAAGTCATTTTTATTGCAATTAGAGGGCATTGTAGTAGATAGCCCATTGTCTATGTTTCACCACATTTGCAGTTGGTAGTGTCTTCTTTTCCTAATATGTTCTATTTCTTAAGTGTGGTTTTGCATCGTCCAATTCCTGTTCCTAACCGATTTAATGCCTTCCGTTTCTCCCATTTCCAGTTTTTTCCTTTAAATAACTCTTCTTTTAATTCCCTTGTACTGTTTCGTTTTCTCTCCATCTGTTGATTCTTTCTTTTTCTGGTGAGTTCTTTATTGTTTGTATCGTACTAAGGAAATTTTTTCTAGATTTAAGTCGTGGTAGAAGTGGATTCTTTCCATAGTAATTTCGGATAGTCTTGAAGTAACTAAATACTCCTTTGCGTTAGTTTCAATCGACAGAGCCCATCCACCGATTCAAATGTCCAGTTTTTGTACCAACTTTAAGATCCAAAATCTCTATCTCCGAACTTAATTTTCGTTGTGTTAATTTTAATGCTATAAATATCCAATTTAATGATATTAATTGGGACTCCGTACTATGTGATG